ACAGCCCAAGAGCCCAAGACGGCCCCAAGATGCGCCCAAGAGGGGGACCACGACTCCAAAATTCGACCTTCCCGCTTGAAGAGTGCCCAAGGAGGCCCTAAGGAGCCCCAAGAGGCCCCAGGAGGCCCCCGAGAGGCACCCAGGAGGCCCAAACGAGGCCTCAAGAGGCCACAAAACAGCCCCGAGGAGGCCCCACAACGGTCCCAAAACGGCTGCCGAGAAGCTGCGAAATTGCCTTCACGACGTCCCCGACAGGCCAACCACGAGATCCAAACCAACACCCATGAGGCCTCTGACCCACCACCTAGGGCACCCGCCGCCCGCCCGCCGTCCGCGTAGCACGCACCACAATGTACTCAACAGTTTCAGTCTCCAAGACAACACCCTGTAGTCAACAGCCCCCGTCTTCAAGACAACACCTTGTACTCAACAAGCTCCCGCTGCAAGAGAGCACCCTTAAGGAATTCATTTAAATCCCGACCCGCCCGCCCGCCCGCCACCCGCCCGCCCGCCCGCCGCCCGCCCGGCCGCTCGCCCGCCTTCCGCGTAGCACGCGCCACCCTGCACTCAACAGCCTCCGCCTCCAAGACAACACCTGGCATTCAGCAGCCCCCAGGGCTCCCGGGACTGCCCGGGCCCGCTCCCAAACACGCCACGACACGCCAAGAGGGCCGTAAAGATTGCCAAGACAGCCCCAAGAGGCCCCGGACACGCCGAAGATGGCCTCAGGACGACCGACGGCGCCGCCAAAACGCCCCAAGAGCGCTTCCAGAGGCCCCTCCAAAGGGCCCCGCATTTTTGCGCTCTCGCATGTTCCGCCTCCCCACGGTCCTGGACGGCGTCAGAGGCCCTTCAGATCGCTCCAAGACGGCCGGAGAGGCCCCCAAGAAAGACCAGAGGTCTCAGGAGGCTCCCCAGATAATTCAAGAGGGCCTCGAGAGCGCCCCAAGAGAGCCCCAAGAGCGACCCAAGAGGGCCCGAAGAGAGCAACAGTTCAAGGTCTCCGGCCTGAGAGGCTCCTATGACGCCCCCGGAGGCCATCAAGAGGCTCCCAAGAAGCCCCGTGAGGCTCCCAAGAGGCCCCCCGGAAGTCCCAATAAGCCCCCAAGGGGCCCCCAGGGAAGCCCCCTGCGGGCCCCCAAGAGACATCGGCAAATCGTATTTCCCAAGGAGCTTTCCGGGAACATGATTCCTTGGCAGCCCACCGCCCCAACCATGCTTCCAATAGGCTTGCCGACAAGGCCAAAAAGGGCCCCTCGGTAAGCCCCCTGAGGCCCCCCTCTTAAACGAGCCGAACAAATCATGTTCCCGGAAAGCTTCCCAGGAACATGATTCTCGGGTTGCCGCCCTCTCCCCAAACCGTGTTCTCTAAACGCTTGCCAGGATAAAAAAACGAGAGTCCCAAGCAGCGCCACCTGCCACCACGCTTGGAAACGCGTCAGGCCCCGAAGCCTCCAGAGACGCCCAACGACACCCCAACAAATCATGTTCCCAGGAAGTCTTACGGCCAGTGCCGCCGACGTTGAAGGAGGACGATCCAGGACACCCAGAAATCTTCCAAACAGACTTTCAACAGGGCGCCGAGACAGCCCAGGGCCGCCCCCAGACGGCCCAAGAAAGCCCCAACACAGACGAAAAGGGCCGCAAGAGGCCCCCAAGAGGCCCCGAAGCGAGGACATATCGTTCGAACACGCCCAAGATGGCCTCCGGACGGCCCACAAGGCTTCCAACACGGGCTAAAGGGACGCCAAAATCACTGATAGCCCTTAGGTTTTTGATGGATCTCAGACACCCAATGTCGCCCCAACAGGCCCCCACGAGGGCGCCGAGACGGCCCACCCACCCCCTGCCGCGGGCAGCGGGTACGAGGCGGAGCCCGGGACGGGGCCCTCGCACTGGGGGGCCCTGGGGCCTTGCCGTGGCGCTGGGGGCCTTGTAAAGTCGCCCGAAGATGGCCCTGGCTGGATTGCCAGAAATGGCGTTTCCAGACAACGAAGACGACCAATGACCGCTCGAGATCACCCCAGAATTGGCCCTTGACTGTCCAAGAGGCCTCCAAGACGCCCCAAGAGATCTCCAAGATGGCTCCCAAGGACCCAGGAGGCACAACTAATTTGTTTTCCTTTGGTTTTTGGTCGATTTTCGAGTTCTCGCCTTTGAGTTTCCTGACGCTCCACGACGGCCCAAGAGGCTTCACCAATACGGCCCCAAGGGGGGCCCAAGAGGGGTAAGACGAACCGAAAATCCGAGCCTTCCACCCCGAGAGGCTCTCAGGAAGCCCCAGAGGCCCCCCCACATGGGACCCAAGAGGCCCTCAAGAAGCTCCCCAGAAGGCCGAAGAGGTTCCAAGAAGCATTGTTGTCCCATCGGCTTTTGATGGATTTTAGAGTTCCCAGCCTTTTGGTATCCCGACGCTCCAAGACGGCCCAAGTGGCCCCCAAGACCGCTCCAAGATAGCCGAAGAGGCCTCCAAGAGGGCCCCAAGACGGCCCACGAGGGCCCCCAGACGGTGCCCGAGGCGCCCAAGACGGCCCGCGAGGGCCCCAAGAGAGCCCCAAGACGGGGAAGGCGAACCCAACAGCAGAGCTTTCCGCCCTAAGAGGCTCACAGGAGGCCCCAAGAGTCCCCAAGTGGTCCGACGAAGTCCCCCAAAGCCCCCCACCAGGCCCCCAAAGGCTCACAGGAGACGTACACGGGGCCCCAAGATAGCCGAACAGTGCTCTCGATGCATCAAAATTACTTCAAGGAGCCCCCGAGAGGCTTCCGGATTGCCCCAATGTGGCCTCAAGCCCGGCCTCCACGCAGCCAAGCCGGCCAATTGACTGCTTCAGACTGCAGAACATCATTTTCCGACTGCCCGGAGAACCCTGACGATGCCCCCAAGGGACCCCAAGAGGCCCCAAGATGCCCCCCCGAAAAGCACCCGCCTCCAACAGCCAAGTGAGGAAGCACGGAGAACCCTTCAGATGCCCCCACGAAGACCCAAGAGGTTCCCAAGAGGCCCTCAGGAGGCACGACTATGTCACGCGCCTGTGCTTGATAGCGCTGTCCAAGATCTTCTAGCGCGCCCCCGGCCTGGGCTAGAACCTGAGCGCGCGCGAAGCGCGCGCGATGGTTCTAGTACACATATATATATATATATATATATATACACACATAAACATATACATATACATATACATATACATATACATATGCATATGCATATATATATATACATAAATATATACATATATATATATATGCCGGCGGTGACCGGTGCGGAGCGAAACCCCCCCTCCCGTTAAGGCCCATTTTGGGGGGCTTCGCGTTGGCGGCACCGCCGGTGCGGGCCGGTACGAAAGCCCCCCCGAAGCACGAAACCACCCGGGGATGCACGTAACCCCTGCCCCAGGATCACCCTCAGGGCACCGCCGGTGCGTGCCTGTACGAAACCCCTTGGGAGGCTCCGAACATCGTCTGGGGCAGGCGGTCCATTCGGGATCCAGCGCCGCCTCCCGTTGCCACGTGCCAAGCAATTTCGGCAGCAGCGTTGTCGATTGCTCCTACTCCTCCTCCTCCTCCTCCTCCTCCTCCTCCTCCTCCTCCTCTTCCTCCTCCTCCCCTTCCTTTTTTTTGCCTCGGCTGCCCCTCGTGCGACGAGCGGGCGGACACGGCGGCCGCGCGCGGCCGGGGTATCTCCTCCTCCTCATCATCATCATCCTTCTCCTCCTTCTCCTTCTCCTCCTCCTCCTCATCCTCCTCCTCGGACCCCCCCGCCCACGTCGTCGGACCTCCCCCCCACGAGTTGTCGACGGCCCCTGGCGCGCCCGGTACGAGGCCCCCGCAGGAAAACGGAAGGGGGGAAGTCCGGGCCGTCACCGACACCCAGCGCGATTCGTACGAAACCCTTTGGGAAGAGGGGAGGGTCTCGTGCTACGGGGCACCACCGACATATAGATATATATATATATATATATATATACACACAAATAGATAGAGAGAGAGATATGCATATTTTCACACACACACACACACATCTATAGTGTTCGGGGAGCCCGTTCGGGGCGGAACAGCCGGCTCTACGCTGCGGGTGCCGCTCGCAGCACGGCCCCGCGCCACTGAGCCACAGCGAGGAGGGATTTGAAGAGAGGTACAGTGTCTGGGTTTCTTGGGTTACGCTGGTTGTGCTACGGAAAGCATGACGACCCCACACCAAAAATCAATCGACGTCTTGGTGTTCCATGGTTGGGATTTTTGTGGAAGGTTTCTTGTGGTCGAGCTCCTCCTGCATAGAAAGAGAGAAAGCGAGAGAGAGAGAGAGAGACGGGGAGGGGAAGAGCGGGAGGAGGAGGAGGAGGAGGAGGAGGACGACGACGACGACGACCACAACGACGACGACCAGGCGGACGAGGACGAGGACATGGAGGAGGAGGCAAGGAGGCAAGGAGGGGGGAGGAGGAGGACGAGGAGACAAGGAGGCAAGGAGGTCAGGAGGAGAAGGAGGAGGAGGCGGAGGAGGGGGATCTGGGGAGGAGGGGCCCTGCTGGATCTGAGTGTGGCCACTACCCTTCTGTTGCCTGAGTTCTTGTCGTTCCCGTGGCTTGTACGTACCTCTCCCTCTCCTCCGTAGAGGGGCACATCCCCCATGGGGTGAGCGCACCAAGTTGGTACCGTCGCTCCGTCGCTGGCCGCCCCAGGAGGAGGGGGCCCAGAGCAGGCGCAGGCGTGCAAGAAGCGTCCCCCCGACGATCTGCACCCGCTTGCTGGAGGCGAAGGTGTTCTCCGAAGGCAGACAGTGCTGAAAGGCCAACCGTTTGTTGAGGGCCACTTCTCGTTCGCTGCAAGCCAAAAAAAAAACAGTGTGCCCTCAGGCAGCTGTTGGCCTTCAGGGAGAGCTGCCTTCCGCAGGATCGCTTACCTTCAGTCTGCTCTCGGATTCTCCTCGACCTCCTCTTTGCAGCCGACGCCCCTTCCCGTCATCCCCGCCCTCCTCCGCCTCGCGGCAGCCCCGCGCCCAGGACGAGGCGCAGGCCCGCCGCCCCGCGGCTCCGAAGGCGTCGAGCCAGGCCCCGCGGATCACCGTCATCAGCGCCGCAAAGGAGCAGCGGAGCACACACAAAGCTTGGCATCGCTCGGACGTGCATTTTTCCTTCGGCGAGGACCATCGAGGAGCATCCTTGATGATTTGGCGAAAAAACCACGCACGAAACCGAAAAAACACAGGGAATGGACGTCCGAGCGATGCCCAGAAAGTGGAGGGTCCGCAGCGAGGGGCGGTCGCCAGCGTGCTCGAAGAGAGCCCGCGGGCCGCGCCGGGGCAGGGGGCACAGTAGGCACAGGAGGCAACCAGGAAGAGAGACTCCTCCCCCCTCTCCCTCCCCATTCCCCCTCCTCCTCCTCCTCCTCCTCCTCTTCCTCCTCCTCCCTCCCCTCCTCCCTCCTCCTCCCTTCCTCCCTCCTTCTCTCCCTCCCTCCCTCCCTCCCTCCTCCCTCCCTCCCTCCCCTCCTCCTCCTCCTCCTCCTCCTCCTCCTCCTCCTCCTCCTCCTCCCCCTCCTCCTCCTCCTCCTCCTCCTCCTCCTCTGGCGGCCGCGGAGGAGGAGCGCGGGGGGGGGCGGGCCAGGCGCAGAGGAGATCCTCGCCACGAGGGCTGCGCACAGGAGAGAGTCCGACTCAGTTCTTGGAAGGGGAGCGGCGAGCGCGAGCTGCCGACGCGGGGGGGCGGCGAAGGGTCCCGCCGGAGAGGCCCACGTCGGAGCACAGACTATCGAAGAAGAAAAAAAACTACAATTTTCGATGGGAAGTCCTCGCGGAGGCCTCGGATCCGCGCTGGACCCCCCGGAGCGCGCCAGGGAGGGAGGTCCAGCGCAGATCCAAGAAATCCGCGCGGAGGGCCAAAAGTTTGTGTTTAAGCTGTTTTTCTTCCTCTGGACAAGACACTCGAAGAAGGAGAAACAGAAGCAGAACTTGTAGGAGGTCCGCGCCGATCTCGTGGATTGTCGCTGGGCCCCCCTCCCCGGCGCGCGGAACGAGATGCAAGAGATCCGCGCCGACCTCCAAAAAGTTGCGGTCGGGAACTTGGGCCCACCATGCCTCGCCGCGACGCACTATCCACGTCGCGGCTCCCAGGCTTCCAGATCCAGAACTTTCCCAAGCCTCCCGCCCCGCGGAGCGGGGCGACGCGCTGTCCGCTCGCGGGGCACATCGTGTCGCCGGGGCCGCCGCCGCGACGCGCTGAGCAGTACGAGCGGCTCCCCATGCGACCCCGCGCGCGCCAGGCCGTGCCCTTCGCGGCGGCGACGACGACGCCGACGACGACGACGAAGTTCTCGCGCGTATGCAGCTTGTTGCTCCTCTGGCCTCGGCAGGTTGCCGCCGGTCCGCGGCTCGGTTGCGCCTCCCGTGCCTGCGGAGGGGCGCGCGGGCGAGGCGCTGGCTGGCAGGGCTTGGAGGGCATCCCCTCTCGCCAGCCTCTCCGGGGGGAGCCCTCTCGGCAACGGAGGCGGCCCGCCGCGGCCACTAGGAGGAGGGAGAGGCACCGAAGCGTGCGGGTGCATCGGCCGCGTGAGCGCTCGAGCCGTCCCTTCTCTCTCCCGCGGCCGCGCCTCCCCCCTCTTTGTCCTCCCTTGCTGCCAAAAGATTCGCAATGCCGTCACCCGGCCTGCCCGAGCGCGCGTGCGGACCGCCTCTGGCGCGCCGCGGCGTGAAAGAAGGGGTACATCGGCGCGTGGGCGCATGAAGCTGCTGCCTGCTTCCGCCTTTATTCGACGTGGAACGTGACAGCATACGCGATTTGCAGGCATCCCAGGGCCCTGGGAGTGCAACGAGGGGAGCCAGGTGGTTCGTTGAAAGTCAGCTGGCCGCGTCCCTCTCCCCTGCCCCTTCTCCACCCTCTCCCAAAGATGCGCTGGAGAAAGAGGAGGGAAAGGTACCAATACTCACCGAGCGCGTTCCACTACTCGCGAAGTGCCTACTCGCAAACGTCCGAACAAAGAAAACATGTCTGCCTCGATTGCCTCGACGTAATGGATCGCAGATCCCCCGCGGCAGATCCAGGCCATTTGCGAGCAGTTACTTGGCGAGTAGTGGGGCGCGCTTGTCTAGGTACCGCTACCCTCGGCTCGTTTTCGCCATGCTGGGCCGCCTCCTAGGAAGCCCTCGTCGCCGCGGTTGGCTTCGCCTCGAGATCCTGGTCATAACGCAGCCCAGGAGAGGTCTTGGAAGTAGTGGTATCGACATCTTTCGGTTTCCCTAGTCACCCGCTTTTCGTGGGGATGACTGCAATTCGCGGCCATATGAAAGGGCGCCGCCCCTCTGTGTGTTCGATCGTCGGCCGACGACGACGACGACGACGACGACGACGACGACGACGACGACGACGACGACGACGACGACGACGACGACGGCGGCGGCGGCGGCGGCGGCGACGACGACGACGACCATGACCATGACCACGACCACGACCACAACCCCGCCAACGATGACGACGACGACGACGACAACGACGACGACCACGATCCCACCAGCGACGACGACGACAACGATAACGACGACGACGACGACGACGACGACGACGACAACGACGACGACGGCGACGACGACGGCTACGACGACGACGATGGCGCCGAGTAAGACCACGACCACTACCACGATCACGCCGAAGACAACGGCGACAACGACGACCACGACCACGACCACGACCACGACCACCACCACGACCACCACCACGACCACCACCACCACGACAACGACAACGACCACGACCACGACCACGACGACGACGGCGATAAATACATTAGTTCTTCAGTAGTGGGGCCCGCCTCTCCCTACCCCTTTCGCTCGCATATCTCGCTACTTCCTGCTTGGTGGGCAGAAGGCTGAGGGCTTGCCTGGTGATCACGAAGCTTGAGCTGCCCCTGACGTGTTCGCGCCTTGTGGGACCCTCTAGGGCCTTTTGGACCTCGTGAGAGGTGCTCTGAAGGCCATCTGGACTTCCCTACAAAAAAAGCTGCGGTGCCCTTGGGCCTCTCCGTCTGGGAGGGGTGAAGGATGGGGACGAGGAGGGTCGCCATGAGTGAGGGCAAGGAGTCTTGGGGGGAAGGGTCCTGAGGTTCTTCGCTGCTTTCGGCCCCCTTGGGAGCTTCACTGGCCCCGAGGCTGCTAGAAACAACTCGGGATGGAAAGAATGAGTCATCCACAGGAAAAGCCCTTTGTCCAGAACCGGTTCCCCTCAGGACCCTCTGCCCCCATCTTAAAGGGGGAACGGGAGGGGCGGGAGGAAGAGGAGGATGCCCTGGATTGGTTCATAAGCGCACGGTGGGAGGTCGTCGCGCGTTTTTGCTCAGTTGCCGTCGCCGTCTTGTGCGGAGGGGGCGTCCCTCGCGGGGGGTGTGGCACCAGCGCGCACACGTCAGGATGTTAGGAGCAAAGAGAATGGCGGGCCCAGGACGGCCTGGGGAGGGGCGCACACGCCGGGAGGAGCGAGAACGGGGACGCGAGGAGTGGGAAGGGGAGGGGGGGAGGAGGACGGTGAGGACATGGAGCAGGAGGAGGAGCAGGAGGAGGAGGAGGACTCCGAGAGAGCCCCTTGTGTCAGACGGCGCCCGAACTGTACTTCCCCAGCCTCCCTCGCTGCTCTGGCTCTTCTTTTTTCGGCTCTCCCGAGCCACGGCCGGGCGGTCCAGCGGCCGGGGCGGGCCTTCAGCCGCTCCTTTTCGTGGGGAGGCCCCGCTTGCGCCTCGCTCGACTGAGGCCACCAGGGGAGGAGCGCGGAGCGAGGGAGGAGCGCTGCTCCCGGCCGCGGGCACGGACGTGCCGGCGCTGGGCTGCTGCCCAACCGCCACGGGGCAGGTGGTGCTCTGCTCCAGGGCGAGCGGCGCTGCCTAAAGCCCGCTTGCTCGACGTACGGATGGATTGCTGGCTGGCTGGTGTCCGAGCAGGAGCAGCTCGCGCGCGAGTCTCTCTCCTGTCCTCCACGCCGCGACGTTCTTCCGCAGCCCTCCGTCCTCTTCTCCCGCAGGTGCGAGCACTGAGAGTCCACCTCGTTCGTTCCCCCCGCGGAGGCGCCGTTGAAACGCGCCGTGGTGATCGACAGGGTCGTCGCAGCCGTACAGGACGAGGCACACGAGGTAAAGCCCGTCCCCCAGGCAGTGGCGTAGGCGCCTGCGGCAGCCATCAAACATACATGTTGCCATGGTATGGGTAATGCCCGTCGTGTAGTATCGGCACCGACCACCTGTTCGTAGCGATTATTAGCGCATTTCACAAAGTAAGAAAGCGGATGCCGTTGACGCTTTCGTTGCCGTGATCGTTGCGGCCCGATCTCGTCGCCGCCATCGCGCGTACGTCGCAGCTGCAAATATCCTAGGTGTCATCCCACCTGGAGCCTACGACACGACGCAGATGCCGACCATGTCGCCGTATTGGCCAACCTGGGGAGCGCAGATCCTCCACGACCGGAAGATTCCTTCAGCGGGCAGGGTCATGGGCAGCAGTGGAGACGCAGGGTGCAAGGTTCATGACGTGGAGGGCGCCCATGCCCCGGTCCGCGACATAACGGTTCGAGGTTGCAACCGTAGTTCTTGTGACGCTGCTGTGGTTTCGGCAGCAGTTATTCCGCCTCCTCTTCCTCCTACTCCTCCTCGTGTTGTTCATCATCCTTCTCCTCATCCTCCTTCTCCTCCTCTTTCTCCTCCGCCTCTTCCTCCTCCTCGTCAGTTTCTTCTTATGCTCGTGTTCCTATCCCCCCCTCTTGTAGGATGAGCATCAGGAGAAAGAGGAGGTGTGCCTTCTTCGCCCTCCAGGAGAGCAGCGCAGTGCCCTCCGCACCACGTTCCTGGAGTCAGTCAGGCCCTGCCAGTGGAAGATGGGAAGGACGAGGAGGAGGAGGAGGAGGACCACGACGACGAGGAAGCGGAGGTGGATGGGGAAGAGGAGGGGGCGGGAGGACGAGGGGAGGGGGAGGAGGACGAGGAGAAGGAGGAGGAAGAGGAGGAGGAGGAGGAGAAAAAGGAGAGAGAAGGACGAGGAGGAGGAGGAGGAGGAGGAGGAGGAGGAGTAAGACGACGACGAGGAAGAAAATGGTGGACGACGAGGGGGGCGAAGACAACGAGGACGAGGACCAGGACGAGGGGAGCGAAATGGAGGCGGGTGGGAACTGGAGGATGGGGACGAGGGGGAGGACCGAGACGCGCAATGATGAGAAGGACGACGCCGAGGAGGTCGAACAGGAGGACGAGCCAGGTTGTAGGAGGAGGGGTAGAGCGGCAGCGCGGATGATAGTAGGCGTGAGTTCTGTCTGGTCGACTCTCATGTTGGACTTGCTCTGACAGTATCCTCATGCACTCCTCTTCCTCATTAACAAGTGGTCCGCGTCCCACCATCACGCGTGCCAGTGGGGCGGCCAGGCGGTTTGCATACGGTCCTGAAGTTGGAGATTCCCAGCAGGTACCAGGATGGAGGGCGGGTGGCATTCAACGTGTGATTCTCGCCATAGCGCCGCACTTTTTTTGTTGAAATACGCCACAGTATCACAAAGGCTATAAGGATAGTGAGCGGGTCGCTCTCAAAATAGGGCTCTCGTCCTAGCGGTGCGCGCATATGTTTCGAACGCGTCCAAACACAGCAGGGATGGAGAGCTGCTTGTTTTCAAACCGTTGCGCTTAGCCTAGCCTTGCGCACATTCATCAAGAAACCTTCCAACAGCTACGAAGATGGAGGGTGAATCGATGTCTAATGTGGCTATCGCCCTGGCGCCGCGCCCATGTGTGGATTTAAATGTCCAAGTGTTACAAGGATGTATGGCGAATCCTGTTTCCCCAACTAGGCTTGCCTAAGGGAGTCGTGCTTGATTAAAGGTTGGTGCCTCGTATTCTTACCTCGGCCGTTGCTCGAAGGTTCCTCGGGTTCCTCGGGTTTCCCGCCCCCCACTGCCAAACAATGCCAAGCATTGCGCCCATGCAATACGAAGCGTTCCCCTTACTGGGATCGCGCCAGGTTCATCAAAGAGCGGCTCTTCCGCAGTTACTGGCCTGCACTTTCGTGTTCTTTCCCAGAACTTTGTGGTGATGGGTCCTTGTTTTGAAGAGACAGCGCCACGAGTCCTCCTCTCTTCCTCCCCATCTTCCCTTGTTTTTCTCCTTGCCTGTGCAGTCCACATGTCCTCATCACCATCATCAACGTCAGCATCATCATCGTTGTTATCGTCATCGTCGTCATCATCAGCAGCATCACCATCGTCATCATCATCATCATCGTCATCATCATCCTCATCATCCTCGGCCCAAGGCGGCCCCATAGGAAGCTCCACCGAAGGCCCAAGTGCAGCGCCATCATGGCATCACCCCGCCGATCTCGACGCACGCCTCACGCGATTCGTGACCCCACAGGGAGCCCCACCGAAGGCCCCAGTGGCAGCTCCCGCATGGCGTCACCACGCCCATATCGGCACACCTCTCACACGTTTCATGACCCCACGGGGAGCCCCACCGAAGGCCTCAGTGTCAGCGCCCGCACGCTGTCGCCCAGCCAAGTTCGCAAGCACCCCTCACACGTTTCGTGACCTCACGTTCGTCCCACCTGCTTTGCGGCACTCACCTTTGCACATGGTCGTGTCCTTCGGCAGGCCAACTTGGAGTGCCCGTCGTGCCCACATACGTACTTGTTGCCTTCGCGCCGCGCACATTCACAGAAAAGCTTCAAACAGCGGGGTGCTCCCTTTGGTGGCGATCGTTTAAAATTTTCGGAAGTAGACGGAAGAGCAAACGTGTGCACAGCTACATTAGTGGAGGGCGTGTCATGTGGCAGGTGTTCAAATAAAAGTGATCTCCCTTGAGGCGTCCTCAAGAGTGGTGGCCCCAAACGCAAAGTTATGCAACAGCCTCGCCTCACGGATGCGGCTCCCGTTGGAGATCGCATCGCGAATTATGGTCATGAGCGTTGAACCGCGCAACAGCTACACGGCTGGAGGGCGCTTACGTTTCAAAATTTTGTCTTTCAACATGATGACTTCTTCCAGTCGCAACATGGTCGTCATAATGTTATACGGCATTCAAAAAACAGAGTTCTCGCCTGCAGGGCGCTCGTTATTCAAGGGGGCGCTTCCCGTCCTGACAGGGAATGTACGCAGGGACGCATGAGGAGGGGACGGGACGGGGATGTTGCAGCATCGTCGGTGAATCTTGGGTGTACTCTGGTCCTCCTCCTCTTCCCCTTCCTCCTGCTGCTCATCATCTTCTTCCCCGTCCACGGCATCCCCCACCTGCTCCTTCTCCTCATTCGCTTTGGGCTGCGTTGCTAAGAAATTCGCAGCAGCGACACATGGCGCATGTGGGACACACGGGATGAGACGTGTTCTTGCCATGCACCCATCCCGTTTTCCATGTATTGGAGACAGCGCACCGAGGCTCTCCGGAATGGAAGCTTCAAGAGCTGCGCGCATTAGCAACGGCGACGATAATCGTGGATGTATGAGTTCTTCCTTGTGCTCAGGAGGATGGGGGAACAGGAGAAGGGGGAAAGTGAGGAGCGTGGTTCGGGAACGAGGATTCGGACCATACCGTAGTAGATGGCTCCCCTCTTGCTTCTCTGATATTCCGACTCGCCTTGAAGATTGTCGACGCTACGCTTTGATACCTCGCGGTACCCTTTTTGAGGAGACAGCGGAGGAGGAGAACATCGATACTTGTTCACATTGTCGGGTCATTAATATTTCGGCGCGCGTTTACTTTGCTCAGGAACTCACGCTCCGTAATCCGCATGGGGGCAGTGAATAGTTTAGTGACTTCGATGGGGTGCGAATGATCGGAGTCGTTCTTCTATCTCGTGCTGCCCCTCTGCATTACATTTCCCCCTCGACGGGTTTATGCTCCATGCGTGCTGCTCCAAGGCCAGTGGTTGGCACCGCCTTCAGCTCGCAGGCCTGGAATGGCAGATGTGGGCACGAGGCGGAGAGAATGGTAGAGGAAGAGGGAGAGGGAGATATACATGTGTATGTGTATCGAAGACGCCTACGGCGAATCACCGCCGCCCCCCGCCTTCTAGAATCGCCCATGTGGCCGAGCATTGTGGCAAAAGCTCTGCCAAGCTATCGGGCCATGTGTTCCCCCAACCGTTGTGGAAACCTTTCGGGGAACATTGGGGGAGGATGGCGGGGAAGATAAAGAGGAGGCGGAGGAGGAGGTGGAGGAGGAGGTGGAGGAGGAGGAGGTGGAGGAGGAGGAGGAGGAGGAGGAGGAGGAGGAAGGGGCATTTTGGGAGCCTCTGGGGACACTCTTGGGGCCTCCTGGGCGTTTCCTGGGAGCCTCTTGGACCTTTGGGGGCTTCTCGGGGGCCTCTTTGGCCGTCTTGGTGGGCTCCTGGCCCGTCGGAAGCCGTCTTGGGGGCCTCTCTGGGCCGACTTGGGGCTTTCTTGGGGTGCTCCAGGGCCGTCTTGGAGGCAATCTTGAGCGTCTTGGAGACCTCTTGGGCCGTCTTGGGGGCATCTTGGAGGCCTCTTGGGCCGTTCTGGGGCCATCTTGGGTTATCTTTGGGGGCTCTTGGGCCGTCTCGGGCCGTCGGAAGGCCGAAAAGAAGCACATGCCACAACCCTTCAAAAAGCTCAGGAACATCTATGTTTTTGGCCTCTTCTGGCCTTGCTGGAAGCCCTCTTGGAGACCTCTGGGGCCATCTTGGGCCATCTTAGGGCCATCTTCGGCCGTCTTAGTGGGCTCATGGCCCGTCGGAAGCCGTTTGGGGGGCCTCTCTGGGCCGACTTGGGGCACTCTAGGGGTGCTCCAGGGCCGTCTTGGAGGCCATCTTGGGCGTCTTAAAGGCCTCCTGGGCCGTCTTGGGGGCCCTTGGGGCCGTCTTGGGGGCCTCTTGGGCCATCTTGGAGGCCTCTTGGGCGATCTTGGGGCGATCTTAGGGGGCTCTTGGGCCGTCTCGGGCCGTCGGAAGGCCGAAAAGAAGCATGCCACAATCCTTCAAAAACCTCGGGAAAATCAATGTTTTGGGCCTCTTCTGGCCTTCCTGGAGGCCCTCTTGGAGGCCTCTTGGGCCGTCTTGGGCCAGCTTCGAGCCAACTTGGCCATCTTGGTGGGATCCAGGCCCGCCTGACGCCGTCGGAAGCCGTTTGGGGGGCCTCTCTGGGCAAACTTGGAGCCCTCCTGGGGTGTTCCGGGGCCGTCTTAGAGACCATCCTGGGCGTCTTGGAGGCCTCTTGGGTCGTCTTCGTGCCCTCTTGGGGCCGTCTTGGGGGCCTCTTGGGCAGTCCTGTGGCCATTTTGGAGACCTCTTGGGCGATCTTGGGGGCCTCTCGGGCCGTCTTGGGTCGTCGGAGAGCCGAAAAGGAGCAAATACGAAAAATCGATAGCCTCTTCGGGCCCTCCTGGAGGATCTCTTGGAGGCATCTTGGGCCGTCTTGGAGGCCTCTTGGAGGGCCCTGGGCCTTTCTTGGACCGTCTTAGAGGTTTCTTCTGCGAACTTGGAGGCATCTTGGACTCTCTTGGGCCGTCTTGGAGGCCATCTTGGACCACCTTGGGCGAACTTGGAGGCCATCTTGGGCCATCTTGACCGTCTTGGAGGCCATCTTGGTGCGATCTGGAGCAGGAAAAACCTTTGCAACCGGGTTTTCGGAACTTTTCGGCAAACTTCCAGGACCCTGGCGGGACGGGCCGAAGCCCCAGGGGAGTTCTTTGGGAAAAAGAACCAAAACCAAAACCGAAAGGGTCTAGCACGCCGGGCCCCCCTGGTGGCAAGCCGACAGGGGGCGGCGGATCGAAGACGCCTACGGCGAATCACCGCCGCCCCCTGCCTTTTTGGAAGCGCCTATGTGGCCGAACGTTGAGGCCACACCTGCCAAGCTATCGGACCAGGTGTTTCCCGAATCGGTTTGGAAAGCCTTCGGGGAACACGTGGGCATCTTGAAGGTCATCTTGGCCGTCTGGAGGCCATTCTGACCCTTTCGGGCCTTCTCCGAGGACGTCTTGGAGGGCTCTTGGGCCGTCTTGGAGGCCATCTTGAGCGTCTTGGAGGCCTCTTGGGCCGTCTTGCAGGCTTCGCGGGGGCCCCAGAAGCGAGAGCACCAGGACGTGCCCAGGAGGGGCCCAAGGCGGCCCAAGAGGCACCCAAGAGAGGCCCAGAAGGGCTCCAAGCCCCGTCCAAATCTCGAAAAGGCCAACAGCATGCATGCCGCGCCTTCGATGCTCAGCAGTCCACATTGCTGCACGAGGAGGGTCCACAGACTCGCCCACGAAGGTCCCAGTGGCCCAGAGGCCTCCGGAAGGTTAAATATGACCCCAAGAGTGCCCTGATCTGGCCCCCAGGACGCCCAAACAGGCCCCTGAAAGGATTTCTAGAGGCCTTCCGAGAGGCCCCCAAGAAGCCCCCGAAAGACCAGAATTGGCTCCTGACAGGCCCCACGTCGACAACAAATTTATCCCGAAAGGCATGCAATCACCCTCTGCGCGTGGCTGGGCGAGGACAGACATCTTCTGGCGTGCGGGCAGGTCAAAGGTCGGGACTCCAGAGACGAGGGTCAACGCAAACGGGGGTCAGCCAGAGCGCCAGATCTTGCAGGATCCTGCAGGGCCAGGGGCGCACTGATCCGGGCTTGGGTGCAGGATCATGCAGGATTTTGCAGGTTCCTGCAAGGCCCGACTGACCCAGGTTTGGATTGACGCGGGTCAGTAGATCCCCGAAAAAAAGGGGAAGGGGTGGCTGGAAGGGGAAACGCACGCCCAGAGGGCTGGTGTGATTCACTGAATGGGGTCCACGTTGGAATCATTGAGAAGCGGCGGCCGCACTTATCAATTGCTGTCGAGAAGTCTCCAGCGGGAAGCACAGCCCTGAGCGCAGCGTGATGAAGTCCCAGGGCCACACATTCTCAAGCACATTGTGATGTATTACTGATCGAGGGCCACGTGCTGAAGTACTGCCAGGGGGAGTCTTGAGAGGGATCCGATTTCTTGAACGCACGCTCTGGCAGTACCGAGCGAGAGCCACCTGTTCCAGTGCATTACGAAGAGGTGTCGAGCGAGATCCGCATTCTGCGAGCAAGGTGTGCTCGCATCTTGGGCTCGAGCCAATTATTCCAGGCATCTTGGCAGTAACCGTTTCAGCACAAGCAACAGCCTCAGTGGCAGTGGTGCTAGTAGTGTCACCCCCGTCAGTGTCACCCCCGTCATTCAGTATGCATTACGCACGGCCCCATGTGTGCATTCCGCGTGGCAGTCTTCTTTGTTCGGCATGCCTTGAGTGAAGCAGCATTGCGGTGGACAGGGCCGCCACAAGAACGGAGGCCGCGGCGGCAGGGGATGCTTGGACATTCCCCCGCTGCGTGCCGAGCTGGTCCTCCTGCCTCGCTCGCTCGGCGGCCCTCTCGGCGGATCCCTCGCGGGTCGCCCGCGCTGCCTGCGCCTCGGAGGGGCGGCGGTGGCCGATGCAGCCTCCCCGCCCCCACTCCGCCGCCTGCCCTCGAGGAGGTGCAGGGCGGAACGAGATGTGGGGACGGTCCAGGCTCTGGAAGGGTGTGTGTTTTGTGCCCTCCGCGTTTCTCGGGCTCCCGCGGCCTCTTCTTCCCCGTCCCCCCCCCCGCGGCCGCCTCGCCTCCCCGCTTGCCCCTCCTGCACGCTGGCCAAGTCGCTTCTCGGCGCCCCCTGTCCAGCTCTTTCGCTGGTGCAGCCAGCCCTCGGGCGAAGAGAACTGTGCACATGCACCGATCCTGGCAGGGCCCATGCTGGGCCCAGGACCGGTGCATACGCCCTCCTGGCCAGGGTAGGAGGGCGTATGCACACCGATCCTGGCCTCAGGATGGGCCTGGCCAGAGTCGGTGCGTGTGCAGAGTTCTCCTTCCTCGAAGCTCTGCCTCGCCGCCGGCGGAAAAGGCGCTACATACGGGCGCTCCGCCTCGGGGTGCCCCTTCGCTCCGGGAGCTCTCCACCCGGAGGGGGGCCCGCGGCGAAGGGTCCCCCTGGCATCGCTCGGACGTGTGCATTTTTTTCTCGGCGACGACCATCGAGGACCAGCCTGGACCCTCGAGCAAAAAAAACACGCACGAAACCGAAAAGTGCACTGGAAATGGACGTCCGAGCGACCGCGCGCTCTCGCGGCCCCGGTTTTCGGCGGCACGGGCCAGAGGAGCAGGGGACGGCAGCGAGGCGCCACCCCCGGGCGAGGGGCGCCGAGCAGCGAGGGCGTTTCGGGGGTCTGCACGAGCGAGATGGGCACGGAAAGAATGGGTACGATGCCCAACAGCAGTTCCTGTTCCTTTTGAACAGGACTCGCTGTCCGCGCCGCCGCGGCCCGTGTCCATCTGAGACAGAAGGCCGCCTGCCCAACAGCGGCCGCTGTCGGTTTGGGACAACATCTGTTGTTGGGCATCGTGCCCATTTTTTTCCGTACCCATTTCGAGCGTCCAAATCGGGGGGGAAGGGAGCGATGGCCACGAGCGTAGACACGCGTAACGGCGATGTGGGTGACGGTATTTTATGTGGGTCGGGTTCTTGGTCAAAAAAATCATCGGAGAGCGTGGTTCGTGGCTTCCCACAATTCACTGTAGCGTCGCTGCTCGATACATTCGCGCATTTGAGGTGTAGGAAGGTACGGCTGGTTCGTTCCTACCAGTTGTTCTGCGCGAGTTCGGTGTCGCAATAGCAAGATTTCCAGCATCACCGTTAACCAACATCGCCCTTAGCGTGGCTTTGGCATGGCCAAGACTGAACGCGGAAGCTTCGGTGTCGATCTTGGTCATCGTCCATCTTGGTCATCGTCTACGCTTGGACCATCTTCGTGAGTTGGCGACGGCTGGCATGGAGCATCACCAAGATCGGCGTCGACAAGATCCCGCGGTGCCTTGGTCATGGTCATCGTGTTTCTTCCCTCGAAATGAGCGGCCCGCGCGCTTCCCCCGAAAAGACCCTCCCGCGCATCCCAAGGAGCTGAGCTGGCATTTCCGCCATCAACCATGCACGACCAAAGCTCGACCGCATTTTCCGCTGGAGCTTCAAATTGCGAGTGGCAGGAGGAGAGAGCAACAAGTTCGCCGACACCCCCAATCCCGACCCACGCCTTGTCCTGTTCCAGCTTTTGCGCCAACCGTAGGTGGAGGAACAAGCAGACAGGACTGGAGAGAGTGGTGGATGATGCACGCGCCACGTGCCCCAGGGGTGAACCAGGCACATCGTGGCTGTTCGATGTGCACACCTGGGCGGAGCGCTGCGCACCAGCCGCGAGTCCGCGGTGGCGCTCGCGGGGGCTGCCGCGTAGAGCGTGGCAGGCCCAGCGGCCCCCGGAGCGACGGCTGCGGCCGCGCCGCGAGCAGAGAGTCGACTACAGACGTAAGAGTGACGTTTCGCCGGAGTGACCTCTGGTGCGGGCACAGATGGGTCCCCAGACCCCCTCGAGTAATGAAAAAGTCATGACGGGAGGTTTTTCGCAATTTTCGACCTCTGGGGGCCCTCATCGGGCCTCGGGAGCGTCAAAAAACGACTCAGGATCACAAACCGGTCCTGGGGAAGGGGTCGAGAACTCTGGGGTCGACGTAATGAAAAAATCATTACGTCGGGGGTCTGGGTCCCCAGATGGCCGAAATCGAAGCAGGAGCCACGGCTTGCGCGCCCAGGTTTGGCCCCCACGCGGCCCCCCAAGAAGCCGCGCGCCAGGGGTCACTCTTACCTAGGGCCACCCTTGCGCGCAGCCGAGAGAGAGCGCCCCCTGGAGGTCGAGAGGAAGCTACAGCGGCCCCAAGTGCATCGTCGACGAGCGCAGGCACTCCGGGGCGGCGGCGCCGGCGCCTGCCGCCCCGCCCGCGGTCCAGGCGCGCGCGGCCGCTGCCGCGGCCCCCCCTTGGGCTGCGCGGGCCCAGGCCTCTGCTTGGCATCGCTCGGACGTGTGCATTTTTCCTTCGGCGAGGACCATCGAGGAGCATCCTTGATCATTTGGCGAAAAAAGCACGCGCGAAACCGAAAAAAACACAGGGAATGGACGTCCGGGCGATGGCCAGTCTGGCGGACCAGTCCTGTTCTCCATTCTTGGGCCCGAGGTCGAAGAGCAACAGACAGCACAGACAGAGCCGAGCGCGGGCGATGATAATGGACCCCCCCGCCCCTTCACCCCCTCTCTGCTTTTATTTTCCCCGTCCAGCAGGACTTCGTTTCCTTGTGGAGAGGGGCGCGGAGGCCGAACTTTCTAATCCACGAGGAAGTTGAGGATCGAAGTTGCTATCAGATCATGTTGACTAGCAACAGCATCAAAAACGCACAGACATAATTTCTCGGAGCTCCGCGCGGATTTCTTGGATCTGCGCTGGGCCCCAGAACCATGGGAAAGCAACCCTGGGACAACAAGCCGCTGCTACCCTGGCCGACGGCTCTCATGGAGGAGCAAAAACGACAAGAACACAAACTTGTAACGGCCCTCGCGGATTTCTTGGATCTGCGCTGGACCCCCCTTCCTGGCGCGCGGAGCGCGCCAGGGGCGGCGCCGGAGGCGCCGCCAGCGCAGGTGCAAGAAATCCGCGTGGGCCGTCAAAAGTTTGTGCTCGTGCCGTTGTTGTTCCTCCCAGGTTTGTTGTCCCAGGGTTGCCTTCCCATGGTTCTGGGGCCCGAGAGGGGCAAGCCTCAGAGGCCAGGGCTGAGGAAGACGGAGGCAGGATCAAACAAGACGACGTCGGGGGTCTGGGGGAGGAGGGAGGAGGGAGGGAGGGAGGGAGGGCACCTGAGCGACGAAGGGAAAAGGGATCGTCTGCGCCGACATTCGCGCGCAAGCTGCCCGTATAAGGTCGCGCGTAAGCGCCCTCGTTTCCAATGTGGCGTGCCACACTGGCGGCTCGCATAAGCCGCGGCGTAAGGTCGCAATGTCATCTCACGTAAGACCGTTTCTTTCTGTCGCCCACCCGATTCTAGCGAGAAGCCTTGGCATCACTTCCTCCTCCGAGGGGGGGTGATGTTGTGTTGCCGAGTCCTTTCGCTGGGATGCGGCATTCGCATCAAGCGTCGCTACAGCAGATCTCGACCGCAGCGGCGTCAGGGGCAACGTTTGGGGGGAGATGTCAGGTGGTGATGCATCGACCCCCAATCGCGAGCTCTTCGCCCATGGGGGCCCGACAGCACACCCCGCACAGGAACGTGCGGATTCACAATCGGGGGCCTATCGCCGATTTCTCGGCGACGTGTCGCCGATTCCAGCTCGATGTTCCCCCCATCAGCTGGTCCCCCCCCCCCTTACGTTGTCCATATGATGGCGGAGTGCACATGCTTTCTTGCAGTGCCTTTCTGGCCCCGACGTCCACGCCAGGCCACCCCTATCTTTTTCTCTGCTCAGCCAGTGTTCCTCCTGGCTCTCCTCGTCGTGTTCTTGGTGCGTATCCTTCCCCGCCGCCATGCTGCAGAGTCCTGCAAACGGAGACACTGGTACCAGCTGGCCGAAACGAGCTGGGGACGAAGCGCTCGGGCGTGAAGGCCTGGCGACGCCAGGCAGCTCGGGCAGAACAGGGAGGCTCGCCAATTCAGCTGCAGACGTTGCCTCGGGAGCAACCCAGACATGCTCGCGCCCTGACAAAATTAGGACGGGAGGTGTGTGGCGGTTTGGGCCCCTGGGTGCCCGGACCGGGGCCCCGGGACCGTCAAAACCGACCCAGGATGGAGAATTGGCCCCCGGGAACAAGTCGGGACTTCTGGAGACCCCGTATGAGAAAAGTCAGGACATCGAATGTCTGGGCTTGCCTTGGGAGCAAGGCAGCCCTCCCCTCGTGGTGCGGGTTCTGACCAGTATTCCGAGGCGGATCCGGCCGTGGCGGCGAGGGGGGGAGGGCGAATCGGAGGCCCACAGAAAGGGCGACAACGATCCCTGGCGACGTTGCGCCCAGTCCTGGCGCCGAGTACCCTCCCCCCTAGGACGCCCAACAGACAGACAGACAGCGGCCATGCTTCCGAGTGGACGCGCAGGCAGTGCAAACGAACAGCCAAAGGCTGTTGAGAGCGGCGGCGAGCGAGAGAGCACGGCCAAACGCGGGCGCCTTGATGAAGATGAAAGATGACGACGAGGATGGATGAGATAAACATGTTACATCAAGTAGCGCACTGAATGCGACCATTGTTGCCGTGGACGGCCTCTGCGCCTCCGGAAAGCCTATTGTTCAGGCGTGCCATTGTGGTTGCATACCCTTTGTTTTACCAATAAACTTGCGTCGTGCGAAGAAAGCGTCCTATATAGCTGGATTTGACGGTCGTGCAGTGTATCCGACAACGTGTTCACCCATGCTTTTTTCCAAAACTACAGAATTAGATACCCGGGGTATGTACGAACATGGAATCTTCAATATTTGTCTCAAGCATTTGCATTGGGCAGCGTCGATCATTGGTCTGTCGGATTTCAAGAGCCATAAAGAGTCCAGTGAAGATAAAGGCTTGCTGACGAGGCAAGCGGAAAAGATGTGCAATTTCCGACGCGACGTTATAGAAGTGTGCGCCCAGATGTTGTTCAAATCGCGCACAGTGCCGCCAGATTCCCCCAGCCTGCGAGGTAATTCATTCCCAGCGCGACCATCCCAAGAAATCAAGCCTCCAAGGTAAGTTGGTTCTCTAGCTGTTTTGATTGGATCCCCATTTGGCTGCTGCCCCACGCCCGCAGTAAATTTGAATGTGTTACGTTTTGTCCCAATTCTCTTCCAAACCGTATTTCTGTCCCTCCCAAATAATTCCGTCGAAAATCATGTGTTAATCCCCCGGGTATCTGGAGAGCAGCAGCGTGTCGTCAGCATACGGGATGTCCCTTGTCACAACATACGCGGGCTCTTCCAGGAGAGACAGGTTTCCGAATACATCGTGCAACCTTATTATTTGTACCACAATTAAAAAGATAAGGTGATAACGGACATCCTTGCGCAATTCCTGCACATTGCTTGCGTTCCGACGACCGCCCGCTGTGGTCAGTTATAGTGAAGTACTTTTCAAAATAAATGCCCCGTATCATCTGCACCATAGGACCTGGCAGGCCAACTCTTGCCAACGCTTTGCAGAGACCGTCTGGCTTCAAAGGGTCGAATGCGTTAGCCCAATCCAACAACAGTAGTAGAACGGCATCGTTATTGTTTGTACGTGTTGCATCTACAGTTCGTCTTATCAGCATGAGCGCGTCCTCCGTGCCACGCCCAGGGCGGTAGCGAAACTGGGATGACCGCAGTCCTCGTTCTGACCCTATTTGTATAAAACGGCGTGCATCATCGAAGCCAAAGTGTTGCACACTACTGCAAACAACGAGGTCGGCCTGCAATTGCTTGGGAGGGCTGCATTTCTTTTTTGAATAACAAAACAACACTAGCTCTCCTTCATTTCGTTCGGATGTCTTTTAGCTTCACAACACTTCTGACCTACACGTAGTAATGCTGCGCACGCATCGTCGGTGTTGGCAAGTATGTTCCAAAAGTCTGGCGGTACATCGTCGGGCCTGGCCGCTATTCCATGCCTCATGTTTCGCAATGCGTTCCGTAATTCATGTAAGGAAAATGTTGATGTGTTGATGGGGAGCGTGTCTCGCATCTTCGTTGTTGCTTCTGGGGCCACCTCTGGAGAACGTATTTGCCATTGGACTTGTCCGAAATACTCTGCTAGCGTGTCTGATCGGCGTGCTGTGTCCGACAATTGACCTGCAAGATCTTTGACTCCAGCGTGTTTTTGTTGTCGTTGTTTCCTCAATTGTTTGACGGCGCTCCAATGTCTCCCAACCAATGCTGTGTTGATCCAGTTTGTCTGGTCTGGTCGTGCAGCATGTCGGATTTATTTATTCAACGCCAGTTCGTAGATGGAACGCCCTGTTATTCGGCATATGTTTCTATTCTCTGTTAAGTCTACAGTATATTGAGATATCCATGGCCGCTTTGCCGCGGCATGCCTTGGCTTCACAGAACATGCAGCGGACGAGAAAGCCTGCTCCACCGGCCACGACATCCAAAGAGCCCCCAAAAAACAGCGTCGCCCTAAGCCAGCGTAAACGTAGATACGAAATCTCGTTGCTCGCCAGGCTCCTGCAAAGATGAAGCGTCTAAGCGCGGCAGGCGGGTTTTATTACATTTCTGAAGTTAAAATGCAACATTTGCCTTGGTCAGGAAATATTGGCTGTTCAGGGCCGCTCCTCGATTGGATCTGCAATCCAGAACTCATGGCAAAACTGAAGAATTGCATAAGGAGTGGTCGATTTGCGAAAACCGCTCAGGACAGATAGGATCCATCGGAGCCACTCCCAAATCCCTGTACGTGATACGTTCGTCCTCCGGTACATTGAAGAATGTACTCGCGATCGTTATGTCGTTGCCGTGGCAGCATTCCAGCAGAAGTTGGCGATTGGAGACCAGTGTGGTGGTAAGCAGCAGTCTAGCATTGAAATCCCCCAGAATCATAGTAGTGTTGTGAGGCGTTGTCGGTTGGGTGTACGCGTTCAGGTCGGCATAAAAATCTCGCTTGACGTGCTCTTGATGTCCACTGTGTGGCGCGTAGGCCATCAGGGAGGCAAGTCTCGGAGAAGAGGCATAGAACGCAACTGATGACCGATCGGCCCATGGTGCAATTATGAAGCCAACCCCGGCATCCGAACGTTTATCTGCATCAAGTTCCCCAGACAAGCACATCCAAAAAACGCTCCAAAAAAACGCTTTCTTGTTTGAAATAGTGCGTTCCACGCAATTGTGTCTCTTGTATGCATAAGATATCGATGTGCTACTTTCGCGTTGTGCCGAACAACTCTGCAAACTTGACCGGCGAGTCCCCCCTGAGACCTTCCACGTTCCAGGAGCCCAGTCTAATCATCGAGGACGTCAAGCATGATGTGCGAGGCCTGCCCCAAGATGTTCGCGGTTTGGGAGCGGATGGAATAGAAGACGGTGCAGCAGCAGAAAACCGGTCGAGCGACGCATCAGTGTCGCCATCATCATCTAATTTCGATTCCAGCTTTGTCCCTTCGGAGACAACTACTGATGATGTGAAAGCCTTTCCAAAAGAAGCACGCCTTTCGATTATGATATCCTTGTCCATAGGAGAGGTGTGGCCAAAACTTGAGCTATAAGCAAATGCGGTAATGGTATATTTGCCCTTTTCCGGAGCAGCCCTTGGAGAAGAACAGGAGGAAACATCAGGATCATTGCGAGCGTGTAAGTGGGCGTGGTTCTGGAGAAAACCGTGTAATCCGTGCTCGGTAGTGGTAAGTTTGCCCACCACCAGAACAGAATCCAAAGTAGAAGAATGCTGAAGAAGAAGTTGGTGAGGTACACGTGTCCTTGTAGGGGGACGTCCATTGAGGGGCCAGTGAGCTTCCTGAGGTAGGTGTGGCAAGTTGGTATATTGCCCATTCCTGCCGTCGTCGTCGCCAGTGGTGTTGGTGTAACGGCGTCGGTGCCGGCTCCAGCCTCGATCGGCATTGGCGGTGTTTCTCAATTTTGTTTTTCTTGTTGGACTGCCCTTTGGGGCTTCCTTTCATCCCAAACGAAGCTCTGCTAACCAGATCGTCGCATTTTGTCGTAAGTTCTTTTAGCTTCTCGTGCTTTGGGAGGTCGTCCCACTCGCCCCATTTGTTAAACCACTCCCGCTTCAAACTCGTATATGTTGTCTTCACTGTTACTGCCAATTATCCTCCTACGTGGACCTGGTATGGCAATTCGTCGTTCAATTTGATGACGTACTCCATGCTCATGTGTTCTTTCAACATGTACTTGAGTCCAAAACACAAGTTTCTCGCCGCACGGGAAGTTTGGCGTCGATCCAGAGAAGCCCAAATGTTATTTCCATTGTGTTGTAAGTTTGCATTCCAGATGAGGGCAACCGCCGTGTCGCGGTCTAGCGTGTTCCCGAATTCAGCGTACAAGATGTGGTTCGTGTCGCCTTTGATGTACAAATTGTGTGTAGTCGGGCCTGCCAGAGTCGCGAGCTGGTCCTTCAGCCATGCTGCGGCTGTGTTGAAGATGTCGAAGCCGCCGAGGTTGCCGAAGACTGCTGTAATCGACCTTCTGTTCTTCGTGTCGGTGGGAACGTGTGGAGCTCCATGGTGCTTGAGTTGCTGGACTTCGCTCTCCGATTCCTGCAGCTTCGTTTGCATCATCGTGTCGACAGCTGCTCCTGACCCCGCCCTCGCTGATGTCGGCCCCGGTGCAGGTGCCCGCGAGCCGTCCCGAGCCTCCAGTAACACCAACCGTGATGTGAGATTTGCGATAGCGGTGTTGATGGGGACAATGGTGCTCTCGAGGTCCTCACGTGAGACCCCATGTGTTTTGATGGCGTTTATGTCGCTCCGTATTGGATTCAATTGCTCATTGAGAGTGTTCCGGAACATGTCGGCAGTAAGTGGTTGACCATCAGTTTCGCGCGAGCGTTCTTGAGATTGATGTTGGAAAGCGTTGGCGGTTCCGGCATCGTCCAACCCGTCCATTTCATGTAGTGGGTTGTGGACAAGTGTTGTTTCGCTCTCCCAACTGAAGCCCCAGGTGGAAGACGGTCGTTTTTGGACAATTACTTGACAGGGGTGCTTGGCACGCGCGTGTCTCCACTCGCACCCAAAGAAGGCATCGCTGCAGGCATGAGCGTGCGAGAACGTAAGATGAACGGAATGTTGAGGGGGGGACTCCAAAAATGAATGCTTTTGCACCTTGAGCCAGGCCTTGAGCCAAAATGGCTTGAGCCAAATTCATGAAAATCGTCTCCGCCGCCGTCGTCGTCGCCCCCCCACCCCAGACTCCCGACGCCGTGGTTTTTGTTCCACGATTCCGGCACGTGAACATCTCAGCCACTTCCCTGAAGCCATCGTCGCAGGCTTAAAGATTGGCACCAACACCAATATCGGCGGCGTGCATCCACCGAGGGAAGAAGATCCCGATCTCGGTGATGGTGGTAATATTCTGGCTTCCAAGGTGACCGAAATATTACCCCCAACACCGAAATCTAGGATCATCATCTCCCTGTGGAGGCAAACCCCTGTGCTGGTGTTGGTGCCAATTTCCAGGCCTCCAACATCGTCTCTTCTTGCGCCGATTTTGTTGACAGCCCCAGGGCCCGACGAGGGCCCCCAGGGCTCGAGGACGGCCGAAAAAGCCGCCCGCCCTGCAGCTTCCCGCGGCACGACCAGGGGGGGGGGGGTCTGGGACGCTCGCGGCCGCCAGCCCACCCGTGCCGCCGGCGCCCGCGGCACACTCCACGTTCCGCGTGCCACAGGCGCCCCAGGAGGCCCGAAAAGGAGGAAGAGATTGTGAAAACCGCCGCCGCCGCCTCCGCCGCCGCCGTCGTCGGCGTCGGCTTCGTCGTCGTCGGCGTCGGCGTCGGCGTCGGCGTCGTCGTCGTTTCTCGGCCCGCCCGTGCCGCAGGCGCCCGCAGTGCACGCCCCGGGGCCGCGGATCCTGGACTTGCGCCAGGACCCCCACCGGAGCAGCCGCGGGAGCATCGGCGGCCACGACCCCGGTCGCCAGGAGGCCCGCGGGTGGGAGGGGGAGGGCGGCATTGATGACGACTAGTAGGAGCACGACGACGACCACGGCGTTGTCGACGCTGTTTGCGACGACCGCTACGACCATGACGACCACGACGACTACGACGACCACGACGACGACGACCACCACCACCACCAACACCACCATCGCTACCACCACCACCACGACGACGATGACGACGACGACGACGACGACGACGACGACGACGACGACGACGACGGCGGCGGCGGCGACGACGACGACGGCGACGGCGGCGGCGGCGGTGGTGGCGGCCTCCAACGGACTCCAAATGCTTCTGGAGGCCCCAAGAGGGCCGAAAAGGGCTGAATTTGTCGAGCCTCGAACAGGCTGCGAACCTCGAGCGCTCGACCTTCGATCCCCGAACCACTGATCCTCCAACCCTCGCCCTTCGATATTCGGACCCTCGGACACTCGATCCTCTTTTGGGCCATGTGGACCCCGCTCACGACGCCTTGGGCTCTCTCTCTTTCTCTCTCTCTCTCTTTCTCTCCTGCCCGCATTTTCCTCCGCTGTGCTTCCCCGCCCTTCCTCTCGCGCGCCACAAGGGGCGACCACCAGGGCATCCAGCTTGCCTCGCGCCGTCGTGGATGGACTCCTCATCCTCCTCCTCTCCCGCTCTGTTTAGTGCCTCGGAGTATGCAGAGGACCCCCCCTTGCTGGACCTGCACCTCTCGCCTGGTTAGGGCCAGGCAAAAGGGCGCAGTAGGCCTGTGACGCCAGCCCTTAGGGCCCACGAGCACAGGCGCTCATCATGAGCGTACCCGCAGGGGTGCTAGTGAGCTGCAAGTGACTGACAGCTGCACCCCCAAGCGCCGATTCCGATTCCGATTCCTCCGCCTCCTGGAAAAAATATCCGACCCTCGAACCCTCGATCCTCGGACCTTCGAACCCCCCCTGCGCTGCAGGCCGCCGGGGAGCGCCGCAGCTTCAGCCTTTTCAACGTCGGCGGCCGCGCGCCGCCGCCGCGGCAGATGCCCCCCGGCGCCGGCGGCCGCGCTGCGGGCGGCCAGGCCGAGGATTGGTGGCTTGGGCACGGGGGCCGAGGAGGTGCCTCCTCCTGCTCCTCCTCCTCCTCCTCCTCCTCCTCCTCCTCCTCCTCCTCCTCCTCCTCCTCCTCCTCCTCCTCCTCCTCCTCCTCCTCCTCCTCCTCCTCCTCCTCCTGCTCCTGTTCCTGCTCCTCCTTCTCATCCTCCTCCTCCTCCTCCCCCTCCCCTCCTCGTCTTCATGCAGGAGTGATCCTTCGCCGGAGTGGCCTTATGTCCGGGCCCACCAGGACCATCCAGGGCAGCTCAGATCAGAACCTCCAAATCAGAGGCCCCACGTTTTATCATAAAATTCGGAGTATGACTTTTGTTTTGTAACAAGTAGGTGAATACTTTACTCATATTTTTGTTGGACGGGCTGAGGGTGGGTTCGTTGCTGCGGCGCGGGTCGCTCTAGTTGCCGTTTTAAACGACAGCCCACCGTTCTTGTCGGCATAATCTGGTGGAACGACTTCCCCTCGTCAGAATTGGGTGTTGGAACCCATGCCGTGGGCTGCTGGAACCATTGTCCCTCGTAAGGAAAGGGTGCTGGATCCCACCCTCGGGCATTAGCTGCGGGAGCCATTTCCCACCGTAGATGTTTGAGCGTTACAACCTCACCCCGCCCATTGCTTCAAAACTATGTTCTTGTTTTATGAGTGTGTGTGTGTGTGTGAACCCGATTCCGAACCCGAGACCGAGCCCGAGCCTGAGCACTTTGTGCGTGCGCGTTCGCGTGCTTGTGCGCTTGCGTGTGTGCGCTTACGATACGTTCACATGCGAATCAAAAAGAAGCTGTTTTTTTAATATAAAAAAAGCAAACGAACAAACAAATAAACCAACAAAAACCAAAAAACAAAAAAAAAAAAAAAAAAAAAAAAAAAAAAAAAAAAAAAACGAAAACGAAAAAAAAACATTAAAAACGCCTGACAGTAAGAACGTTTCGCTGGAGTGTTCTTCTGGAAGTGAACCGTGGCCACGGAAGAGTCCCACTGGGGTGACGGGGAGCCCTAGACCGCCCTCCCCAGCAGCCGTGTCGCCTCAGACTTGTTGATGTTATTCAGGAATCCGGATCGCGCTTCAATGCTGGCTACATGTTTGGTCCCGACGGCCACGATCGCTTGCATAAAGCATACTAATATGCAGATTGCCATGCTCTTACCCCTGTTACTCGCCGACCTCCTACTCGACGACCCGCATCTTCACCTTTGCTGCTATTCGCGTGCTTTGCTCGGGTCGTGCTTTTGCTCGATCCCGACGTTTTCCCCGGCTTTGGCCTCTGGGGCCCGTTGTCGAGCCTTGGGACCCTCAAAGATGGAAACTGCCCCCAAAAGAAAGGTTGGCAATTCGAGGAACAACGAGTTGCATGAAGATGAACTTTCGGAGGAGCGCTATGATTTCTTGGATCGGCGCTGGACCTCCCTCCCTGGGGTCCCTGGCGCGCGGAGCGCGCCAGGAGCGGCGCCAGGATCCGCGCGGATCTCCGAAAGTTTATGTTTATGCTATTTTATATTCCTCGAGGGCTGCTGGGGACGTGCACTGAAAAAACATCTTCGGATGTCTGGGCCCTGAGCGCGTGCCGCTCGCGGTGGCGGGCTCAGGCCCTCCGCCCTGCCGTCGCGGGCCACTGCGGGCACTGCCAGGACCTCAGCACAAGTGTCCGTGGACGGGAGCTCTCGTCTGTGTGTGTGTGCGTGCTCCCGTCAGTCTCCCTCGCCCCCACCTCGACCCAAGGCTGACACACACCCTGAGTTTGTGGGCGCGGCCGTGGACGGCTGAGACACGCACAGGTTAGACAACTGGCGGACTCTCGCGCCCCCGCAACAGCGCGAACTCGCCAAAATAGCTCCTCAAACCATAGCCCAGGGAAGGTCGCCAGAACGCCATGCGTCGTGCCGCCCCGCCCACCTCGGCACCTGCATCCCCGGCCACAGCAGAGGCCGGGGGCTGCCCTTCCTCCTTCCTGGGGCAGGACGTCAGCCCCTGCCAGGGCGTCGCCTCGCGGAGGAGGTCTGCACCGTGCGCTGCCGCGTCTGGCCAAAGCCCAGCTGCGAGCCCGCACCACCCTCGCCACCGCCGCCTCCCCCGCCTGCCGCCCCGCTCCCGCCTGAGGCCCTCCAGGTCCCGTGAGCGGCCGCTGCCTGGTGCCAGAGGCAAGGGGGCCCCAACTCAGGCTGCCGCCCCGGCGCCCAGCCTCCCCGGCGGGTCCCTCCCTGGTGGATCGCGGCCTGCGTGCAGTTGGTTCCAGTTGGAGGCCGTCGCTACCCAAGGTCTCCGCCACCCTCGACCTGCCAGACCACGCTCGGGGTCGCCCTCGTGAGTCTGCCGCCCCCCTGCCCAGTGCGACACCCGGCAGCCCACATCCCTCGCCGTCGCCCGTTCCCCAGCGCAGTGGATCCGGCGCGGGTAGCGCCATCGGTGCCAGACCTCCTCCAGCCCCCAAGGTGCGGGCGCGGGCCAACGAGCCTACCGATGCGCCAGAGGGGGTCCCTCTGGGGCACTCGCGGGGCCCGCTGTCGCTCTGGCGCGGCGTCCGCCTCGGCCGTGTTCTTTCGAAAGGGCCTCGTCCGTCGCGTCCTGGGCTTGCTCGCCAAGGGTGCCCCCCCCCGCTCGACCAGCTCAGCAGCTGCCTCGTCACCGTCCCTCCTTGATTAGCGAGCACGGTTGCGCAGGGGGGGCCGGCCGAGGAGCCCAGCTATCAGAGACGTGGTACTTGGAGGTATTTGTCCCGGCCCCCGCGCCCGCGTCCCAGTTCTAAGCGCTGACTCGCCCAGTTGTCGCACTGCCTGCCATTCCGTCGTGCATCTTGCCGCAGCTTGCATGGCCAGTCGGTCAGTCGCACACTCCTCGTCCCAGGCGGGCGACCGCGCGTCCTGTCTGGCTGACACTCGCTGGCATTGCACACGCCCACCACCTTCCGCCTGCCCTGCTGTGGCAGCCGATAGTCGGTCTACTCCTGGCACGGGTAACGCACACCTTTGTATGCTCCTCCCGTTGCTCTCCGTCGCTGTCTTTCGGCCGCGTCGCAGCATTGTTCGTTTCCGTCCTCGGACGGGGGGGGGACTTTGGGGGCGTTCGGGGGCTGTGGACAGGCTTGGCTCAGCCGCGCCCTCGACCTCCGCGCCCCCGCGCCTCTGCGCAGCGGGTCGCCGCGGACTTCACTTGCGGCGAGCCGGACGGCATCACAATTGTCTCACTCACCACCCACGCCCAGGGGGGTCCTGCGTCTGAGGGCCCCGCCGCGCGCGCCAGTGCCGTGCGGCTTGCTCGACCTGCTCTGCCTCGACGCTGCGCGCGAGGCCGCGATCGCCCAAAAGTGTCTGTGCGTGTGCGTACGGGTGCGTATGTGTGTTGCTTCCTCCTTGTCGTTCGGATGGCGCATTGCTCCTACACCAGTCCGTCTCCCCCCTCTCCCCCCCTCCACCCCGCAGCTCGCCTTGCGATTGCCCCCTCGCGAGGTTGCCCATCCCCTCTGAGTCGATCCAGTATTTCCATCCCGCGTGATCTGGGCAGGCCTGCGCGCGTCTCGCTTTCGCTCGACCATCACTACGCCCTGCCACTGCGCGCGTGGCCGCGACGCCAAGAAAGCGTGCGTGTGTGTGTGTGTGTGTTGTGTTGTTATGTGATGTGCTGTGTTGTGTTGTGTTGTGTTGTGCTATGTTGTGCTGTGCTGTGTTGTGCTGTGTTGTGTTGTGGTGTTTGCGTTGCGTTGTGTTGTGTTGTGCTGTGTTGCATTGTTGTGTGCTGTGCTGTGTTGTGTTGTGCTGAGCTGTGTTGTGTTGTGTTGTGATGCGTTGTGTTGTGTTGAGTTTGCGGTGTGTGGGAGTGGTGTGTGCTGTGTGCGTTGTGTGTATTGTGTGTGTGCGTATGTGTGTGCGTATGTGCGTGTCTGTGCGTTGTGTGTGTGTGTGTGTTGTGTGCGATTGTGTGTTTGTTTGGGTGTGTCTGTGTGTGTTCGTGTGTGCGTGTGGGTGTATGGGTGCGCGGGCGCGTGGGTGCGTGGGTGCGCGTGTGTGTGTGTGTGTGTGTCTGTGTGTGTCTGTGTTTGCGTTTGTGTGTCTGTGTCTGTGTGCCTGCGTCTGTGTGTCTGTGTGTGTTTGTGTGTGTGTCTGTCTGTGTGTGTCTGTCTGTGTGTGTCCGTACCCTCTGGCTAAAGGGACGCCAGCGGCTCGCGCCGCGGGGCTGGTGGCTGCCCAGCCGCCGGCCTGCCCGGGGTCGCCCTGGCCTCGCGGCTGGCCGTTGGCCCCCGCCCCCGCCGCCGCCGTGTGAGCTGGCGGCGGCGCCTGCTGGCAGCCTGCCTTCGCGCCTGCCGCTGGCCCTGCGGGCGGGCTGGCCGTCGGCTGCCCGGCCGCGGCCGCTGCTGCGTGCGGCGCGGGCTTCGACGCTGTGGAGGCCGCGGCGGCCGCCAGCCTTTGGTTGGCCGTTGCCGCGAGGGCCCGGGCCGCTGCGCTGCGGCTCGTGCGGCTGGCGCGCCACAGGCGGCCGCCGCCAGGCGGGACTGTCGAGCCCCTGGAGGCGCCGGTGTCTCAGCCCAGGCTCGCTGCCCAGGCGGCCTGTGCCACTGACACTGCGTCCCAGCTGCTGCGAGCGACGGCCATTGGCACCGCTGCCGCGGCGGGCTCCTCTGCCGTGGCTACTGCCGCTGCCGCGGCCAGGCCTGCCGCTCAGGCGGCCGGCGCCGGGGCCGCTTCGGCGTTGCCGCGTGGGGCGGCTGACGCCGCTGCCGCGGCGAGTGGCGCCACGCCGCTTGGCCTTCCAGCTGGCCGTCCTGCCGCCACTGGTGCTACCGGCCTTGCCGCGCCACCTTCTGGCTTGCCGCCGCTCGTGATGGGCCTTCGCTGGCAGACCGCTCGGGCTCGGGCTGGCGGCCAGCCCGCGGCCCTGGCCGCTGCCACGGCTGCTGAGGCCGTCACGGCGGCCTACGCCAGGGTTGTCTCTGCCGCGGCGGCGACCGTGGCTCGGGCCACCGCCTTGTCGCCGGCTGCTGCTGCGGTGGCTGCCGCTGGCGCTGCCACGGCTGCCGTGGCTGCTGCCGCGGCGGCCGGCCCGCCGCCGCCTCGGCCATTGCCGATGCTACCGCCGCGCTTGCCAGGGACGTTGGCGATGCCGCCATTGACGAGCTTGCCCAGCTGCCACGGCTGCTTGGCGATGCCGCCGCTGCTTCTGGCACTTGGGATCCCGTCGGCCAGACCGACGGACAGCACGGTCGCTCGAACGCGATGGCCCCCTCGAGGTTGGCATCCCCAGTGCTCCCTTCCCAGGAGGAGTCTGCGGAGGGTGTCGGGGACGGAGGGCACGGAGGAGTACGACGAGCGCGATGGAAAGAACCATGATGGTGTCAGCGGCGCCGACGAGCAGGCGCGCGGCGGCGACGTGACGGAGGATGTGGAGGAGGACACTCAGCAGGCAGAGGCCGCGGATTGCTCTTTGGCCGTCGTCGCAGAGGACCTGATCGGCTTCTGCGACCCTACTGGCATCGCGAGGCATGGCACCATGGGGAGCAACTATTTCCGCCCTGATGACACCACGCTGGATGGCAGCATGCTGGAGAATGGCACGGTGGATGGCAGCGCGCCGACCTGTGCCTCCAATCCGACTAGGGCCCCAACACCTCCAGTCGAAGACGTTGTGGAGCGCATCATAGAGAAAAGCGTTAGGGACGGAAGTGTCGGGCTGATGGAAGAGTTCGCCGAGGGGGAGAGCGGCGGCGATTGCGTTGAACTCTTCACAAATCCCAGTCCGAGTACGGAGCCCAGCCGAATCAAGGATCCCAACCAATCGTGGCGCTGGGAGGACCCTGGGGAGCCCGCTGGGCATACCCCAGACCCACGGTGGACGCGGGCCACGCTGCCGCGGATCCAGGCCTCTCCACCACCAACCTGATGACAACAGACTTCGCCCTCTCCGATCATTCAAGCTACCCCGCCTCTGAGTTGATGGTCAATGATGGGGTGGACCAGGGAGACAACGATGAGCACTTCGCCTGAGCAGAGTTGCCCAGGGGCAACCCCTTCCGATCCACGTGCATCTCCGACGATCTGTGCGAGAGCGGAGGGGGGCATGCACGTCACGGATGACGGGAATGAAGGGGTGAGCATTCCGATTAGAGGGAACAGTCCGCGACGTGACGACCCAGACGAGCTCGCCTTGCGCCGCCTGGTCGCGCAGGGCCGTTTCGCGCCTCTCCGGTCCCCGACGACAGATCAAGCCAGCGCAGACGATGAGAGCTCGCGCCATGCTGAGGCAAGGCGCGCACGCCCCCCTGGCAGTCGGCCCCAGTGGGCGGACCACGAGGACACGGCCAACGACCTGGCAGGCGATGCGTCTCCTACAGTTTGACTTGGGGGCCCGTCTCGCGAGACGTCACCCGGCAGAGTCGTAGGGACGTGGCACCACGCGGCAGAGGTGGGCACTTGTCCGCCAGCTACCGGCGCGAGCTCGGAAGGTGGGCTCTGGCCGCGCCGCCAGGTCTCGTCCACCTGGCTACCCTCCTGGAGTGGTTCGCGGGGTTATTCTGTCCACCGGTGCGAGCAGCGGCCTGCTGCCAGCGGGTCTGGGCGCGCACGCTCACCCGTCGCGCTCGGACAGCCCAGCTCCGAGAGACCCGGGGCGCGAACGGACGTCCAGAGGCCTGGCGCGGCAGAGGCAGCGGCGCACTGACGCATGCTTCCCGCCGAGACCCTACCGATCCTGACCCGCACGCCCACCGCGGAAGCACCAGCTGGGGACAGACAGCGCATCGATTGGCTACTGAAAGTGACCTCTGGCGGAACCCAAGGGGAGGGGCGAGCTCGCCCAGAAGGTGCCGTAGAAAGGTCGTGCTCGACTTCGTGCACCCCCTACCAGCGCACGGCCAGCAACTGACTGGCGCGCGCGCCCCGCCAGTCTTGGGTGCCCCAACTGTCCAGCACAAAACACTCGACGACGCCGACGTGGCTGGGCACCCAACAATCGCGACCCACGCGCCCTCCGCGGGGGTACCATTTCCGGGGATTTTCCCCGCGTTACCCGGCTAGGGCAAAATGACCTCTGGCGGATTGTCCAGGAGGCGTGGGCTGACTTCCCGTGGACTCGCGAACACTGGGATCATTTTACTTGTGATTCAAAACCCAAAGAAAAACAAAATAACAGAAAATACCTTGTGCTTCCTTGCGTCCTAGACCAAAAAACCAGAGAGACAAAAAACATAGATATATATATATATATAGTCCTTGCACCAAGGGCGCCAAGCACTATGTATCATTAGTTTTCTTGCTTTGCAACAAGGAGGAGGGAAAGAACGGAGGAGAAGGAGCGGGAAAGAGGAAGGGGGAGAAGGAGGAGGCGCTGGGGGGAGGCCACGGGGAGCACTTGAGCTTCCAAAAAAATCAGTGCTTCCTTGCATCCTAGACCCAAAAAACATAACAACCAAACATACACAGCGTTTCCTTGCTCCGAGGGCGCCAAACACTGTGTATTCTTGGTTGTCTTGCTTTGCGGCAAGGGGGAGGGAAGGAAAGGAGGAGAAGGCGGGGAAAAGAGGAAGGGGGAGAAGGAGGAGGCGCTGGGGGGGAGGCCGCGGGGAGCATTTGAGCTTCCCAAACAAAAACAAAAAATGCACCCTGCTTTTTTGCATCCTTGATTAAACAACCAGAACAACCAAACATACAGCGTTTCCTTGTTCCGAGGGCGCCAAATTCGAATCACCACATGAAAGTAAATGGTAAGAGAGGGATGCGGGCGAAAAGTGGGAAGCAGATGAGGGGGAGGATGGAAGAAGAGAAGGGGAAGATGAATAAGAGGATGATGAACGTGAATACGATGCAAGATAAAACGTATGATCTCGGGGGGGGGGCATATCCCCGCTTGCCGGTTCTCCCCCTCCCCAGTTTTATCAGTGACGGTTGTGGCCAAGTAGGGTGATTGGCCCATTGTGCTCTCGTTGTTGTCGGAGGTGGCGCGGCGTTCCCGCCACCCCCGCGGTGGTTCGTCGATTTAGGGTCGTTCCCACCGCGGGGGGTGAGCCTCTTCCGCGCGCTCGCCTGGCGGTCGTGTCCAGACGGTACCCCCCTTCCAAAGGCCTCCTCCTTTGTTCTTCCTTCGTTCCTCCTCGACAGGGCGTCCTTGGTCGAGCTGGTGGCGACCGAGACGTCGGTGCGTACAGCGCACCTCGCGCTATTACCCCTGCTGATCGATCTACGGTCGGCACTAAGTCTAGTGTTGCATCGGTGACTTACCAATCAATTCGGTCGGCGGTATTGCAGACTTTTGGGCCGGCCCATACGCGTCATTGACACTGGCCTCCCTTGGTGGCGCAGCTACCCACCATACATTTTACGGCATAGCTCCATTTGGTTGGTTTCGGCCCCGCATGTACATGTGTCCACGTGTACCGCGTGTCTCGACTCCGCCATTCGATGTTGCTTTCTTTATTTAGGGGTTGTGTCAGTCCTCTTGCGTTGTTGGTCCGTAGGTGCGCACCCTACCAGTCTGCCTCGCAGGACCCCTGAGCACGGCGCTGTACCCCACCGATCTGCTGGTGTGGAGGCAGTTCCCGATTTTCGTTCCGTTTCACTGCCTAACAGTGGTTGCCAATTCGCACCAGACTGATCGCGCTTCAAATTACTCCGATCGCTGCATCGACAGTGCGCACGCTTTGTAGATTACGTTTTCGGCCATATTCGATCGCAATTAGCACTTCCATCTGCAGCTCGCGCCTGAGGATATTACGCGCCGTTGGCTTAGAAGTGTGTGTGTGGCTGGCTACGTATGTGTTGTGTGTGTATCTGTGTGCGTGCGTGTGTGTGTATGCGTGTGCATGTGTGTGTGTTGTGTTCTGTGTGGTGTGTGCTGTGTGGTGTGTGTGTGTGTGTCTGTGTGTGTTTCTGCGGTTGCCGGCAGTCCCCTCCGTTGGCTTCTGCTGCTCACGTCGGCTCTTGCGGCTGCTGGCATTCCCCTCCGTTCCTCCGCCCGCATGCCTGTTTCGCCCCGTCGTGAATTCCCCTGGCTTGTTATGCCCTGTGGTCGACTATCTTCGACTCGCTTTGAGACCTTCAGACCTTGCCGCACCGCCTCACCAGGGCTACGGTCAGGAACCGGTTCTGGCCCACCACTACTGGGAGCGACACGCTATGCATTTCCCGGTCCCCAGGCGTCATCGTCCCGAGCTTTGCCCAGCCTCCCGCCCCGCGGAGCGGAGCGCCACGCTATCCGTTCGCATGGCATAGCGTGTCACCGGGGCCGACGCCACCATACGCTCAGCAATAGTTCCTGACTGTCATTAGGTTGCCACTGGTCGTTCCCGACGTACCCCTGGTGGGACCTCACTAGCGAAGGGAAAAGTGCGTGCGCGTGTGTGTGTGCGCGCATGTGTTTGCTTGTTATACGAATACATATATATATATATTTGTTATGTGTATATATATTCGTATGTATAGATATGTGTGTAAACATACATATATACAGATGTGTACAGACATGTACATAGGTGTGCATGTGTTCCCTATGTGTATCCCTCTCTGTCCCTCTCCTTATGCATGCGTGTATGTTTAATCAGATATATAGATAGATAGGTATATATGTAAATCGATAGATAGATAGATAGATAGATAGATAGATAGATATGTGTTGTTATGTCTCTCTCGATGTGGCCCTCCTTCATCTCTCCTTTCTCTGTCCGCTTGCGCCCCTCCGACTTCCCATACTCTACGCATTGATTTGCTGACCCCCCCCCCCCCGCCGCAGGATCTGGCCCTTGAAGCCGCAGCGGCGCTGGCCACTGCTGCCGTCACGGCTGCAGCAGCTGGCATGCAGGATGCTTCACAGCGAGCGGGCATGGAAGAGCGCCAGTTGTGGACAATCATCATTTGTTGTTGGGACACCATTTGTTGTTGGGCATTGTACCCATTCTTTCCGTACCCATTTTGAGCGTCCACAGTGGACAATCGTCGCGCAGATTTTCCCACCGCAATTGCTCGGGTTTACTGGGGGGGGTCCTGCGCCGTCACAGGGGCCTCGTAGGCCGTCTTGAGACCCTGTTGGAGGTTTCTTGCGCCGTTCTGGGAGTCTCTCTGGGGGGGGCGGGGGGACGGTTCAAAGGTGTCCCGGGCCATCTTGGAAGCTTTTGAAATGTCTTGGAGGCCTCTCGGGCCGACTTCAAAACCCCCTGGGGACAGGAGGTGGGCGATGCCAGAAAATAGTCGCCCCTCCGCGCACAGGATTGTAACCCAATGTGGGCAGAAAATATCGCATCGTTTTCTGTTGCTGACCGTATGGGCGAAAGATGAGGCATTGCCGCCCAGCGATCCCCCGACGTTGGGACCACAGAGAGAGGGCAGGGGAAGGGGCTAACCTCTGCCCAGGGATTGCAAGGGGTGTGGATGAGAGTTTCGTGACCCAGCCCGTGGCTATCAGCCACCTGGAGGGCTGGTGGGATTGTGCGAGGTGGAAGTGGGAGATAGAGAGAGATAGAGGGAGAGAGGGAGAGAGAGCGAGAGAGAGAGAGGGACTTCCAAAAGAACGCGCGCCCGCATCTCGCCCCCTCATCAGGATTGGGGGTGGGATTGCGGATAGGCAGTTGGCACCAGCTTGCCGAATCGAGCTGCAACACAAAATGTTCTCGGATCTTTCTGTGGCACAGGACTCGTGGCAAAAACGAGCGGACAGAAGCTCAGAGTTGGGTTGCTATCATTCCCTTTGTTACAGCCTCTGTGACAATTCTGCTGCCATCAGGCCGTGAGCATGCAGGAGGCCGCAGCCAGCGCGATTGCGCCACAGGCAACGCAGTCGGGTGCGACCAAAAGGGGGGCAGGGGGCGTAGAAGAGCATCAATCTTGCATCTTCGGACGCAATTGTTGCAAAGGCGCGAGCGGTTAAAGATTGGGTTCTACGAGACGCCAGAAACCTCAAACGGGCGCTGTCGATCTACAGCTGGCCCCTCCCTACCCCCTCTCTCCCTCCCAGCCCCGATCCCTTCGCACGCTTCCCCCTGGCAAGCGGGAAGCGAGACTTACGCACCGTGAAAGCATAGTCACGAGTCGTGTGTAGTGCGTTCATTGTTCCAGACAGGCCGCCGACGAGGACTTTGACAATGACGCCGACCACTGGCCGGTGCAGGCTCACCCCCTCCCAGCCAGCAGGCATATATTTTACGGCACAGACTTATGCCGCAGGGGAATGGAGACATCCACCATTTGTGCGTGCTACGACATTTAGCATGCATGCCGTCCCTTGCTTCCATACCCTTGCCGATCACACGGCAGGTGTTCATCGTGGCTCTTGGTGGTGGAGAGGTGGTGTGGCAACACATTTACATCAAGAATGGGGCATACAGGGAGGTAGCAGTAGCACGACAGGTTCTTTACCAAGGACGAATGAGCTTTGATTGATCACGCATCTGATACGTTAGTTGATCTAGGAGTTGCGCCTGAGTGCCTTCACAGTCCGCCGTCAAGCGATTGCGATGCTGGCCTCAATGTTTGATGTTGTTTGTAGGGCAGAAGAGAATACCATTGACTGTTTGCGTTTTGTATCGTGGTGTTCCATCACGGCCGTCAGGTAATGGACTCAACGGCGAGGCACCAGTTGGAGCAGGCGAAACCAGCGGCAGAATCGAAGTGAGCATATGAGATGCTTGTTTGAGCGCGACGACGATGAGAGCATTAGGTCGGACGCTTGACGTGTTTTTAACCTTGCATCGATTCAACACCAGCACTCAATGTCTAAAAGAGCAGAGCACCGACGGTAGGCGCAATACGATATGGAACGGCATTGGAAAAGTGTAGATGCCCATGAGTATTGTATGATTGTCTTTTGTTATTCAGCGGTTGATCGGAATGTGCACTTGGCATCCGTATTGTTCTGTACCGTTCGGAGGAAACCTTGCTGTCAAAGGATTCGCGGCTTTGTTTCGCATGTGATGATATCTCCAGGACGTAAAGCACGCAGACAACATATTACAGATTCCGCGGGCTGTCGCGTCGAAAGCATTTCAAGTATTGCATTGGTGTCGGGTGTGATGTGCTTCGCGCTTCCAAGTATTGTATTCCTAGTCATTTGTGTGTTGTTGACCTTGTTCGGGAACAGGTGCAGGACTCGAGGCAAACGCTATATGTCCAGAGATCGCAATGCTCCGAGCTTCATAAGGTCTACATACGGACCGGTCGTACTCTGCAAAAACGAGTATTGCGTGTTATTCGGCGATATGTGACGCACACCCCATGCGTAGTTTCTGCATGCGAACGTGCCGACCTCACATTTGGTACTCAGGCGTCGACGCAGATGCATTTCCTTACATTAGAGTCGATTGCCCGACTATGTCCGTTAAAGTAGTTACATCAAATGTGTTTCAAGCGGATCCAGAATATTGCCTCTTGTCCGTTGAAGTTGCTTCGTTTCCTTCGCTCTCCCGCATAGGCGGCATGAATCGAATCGAAACTGAATTGTTGACGCTTCGCGAATCCCCACCAGCCCATCCAGAAACGATGCCCAGAGGAATTGCCTGGATCAGGGAAGTGGGCAGCACACGAGGGAGCCATTATGAAACATCTTGGGATATCTTGAGCCATCTTGGAGGTCATCTTGGGCTCTCCCAGGCGCTCTTGGAGTCATCTTAATCCGTGCTCCCCCCCAAGAGGCCAACATGTGGCTAAAACCTTCGTGGAATCAATGATTTGGCATTCTCGCCGAGGCCTCTTGGAGCATCTTGGGTGCCTCTGGGGGGTCTCTTGGGGCCTCTTGGGGGCCTCTTGTGGCCATCTTGGGGCCTCTTGGGGCCTCCTGAATGCTTCTTGGGGCCATCTTGGAGGAGATCGATCAAACAAGAGGGGAGCATTAATTAGCGTCCCCCCCCAGGCCAAAATGGGGCCAAAACCTTAACAAAACCAATGATTGTGGCTTCCTCGCCGAGGCCGTTTTGGCATTCTCGCCGAGGCCTCTTGGAGCATCTTGGGTGCCTATGGGGGGTCTCTTGAGGCCTCTTGGGGGTCTCTTGGGGGCCTCCTGGAGGCCTCTCGGGGGCCTCTTGGGGCCATCTCGGGGCCATCCTGGGACCTCTTGGGGCCTCCCGGGCGCTTCTTGGGGCCATCTTGGAGGAGATCGATCAAACAAGAGGGGAGCATTAATTAGCGCCCCCCCCTCCCAGGAGGCCAAAATAGAGCCAAAACCTAAGTAAAACCAATGATTTTGGCTTTCTCGCCGAGGCCTCTTGGAGCATCTTGGGTGCCTCTGGGGAGTCTCTTGGGGCCTCTTGGGGGTCTCTGGGGGGCCTCCTGGGGGCCTCCTGGGGGCCTCTTGGGGCCATCTTGGGGCCATCCTGGGACTTCTTGGGCCCCAGGAGGCCAAAATGGAGCCAAAACCCTAGTAACACCAATGATTTTGGCTTCCTCGCCGAGGCCGTCGCCGAGGCCTTTTGGAGCATCTTGGGTGCCTCGGGGGGGTCTCTTGGGGCCTCTTGGGGGTCTCTGAGGGGCCTCCTGGGGGCCTCATCCTGGGACCTCTTGGGGCCTCCTGGGCGCTTCTTGGGGCCATCTTGGAGGAGATCGATCACAGGAGGGGGGGTGTTCAATTAGTGCCCCCCCAAGAGGCCACAATGTGGCCAAAACCCTAGTAAAATCAATGTGGCTTCCTCGCCGAGGCCGTTTTGGACGCTCCGGCGACTCTCGAAACCCCCCGTCCAGGTCCAGGGAAGGGGGTAGGGGGAGCGTAAACTTTTCCCCGAAGGGGAAGAAGGAGGGGTGGAAGAGGAAACTCTTTAAACTACCGACGCCCAGAGGGCTGGTGGGATTGGTCAAGCCCATTTCGTTATGACGCATGTTTCTTGACAAACTCGCTCGTGTCAACGCGAATATACATAAACATTGGCACATGCGGCTCGAATAATATATTATGGCTCCATGCTTGGAAGTTGCGGTGAATTGACAGCGACACTGGTTCCACCATCTGAACACGTTCGATTTGGCTTCGTATCGCACGTGCAAGAGTGGCGAAATTCCGTGCGAAGACAAAAAACGAAAACAAGGCGGAGCGAGGAGCAAGCTCGCCACCTCTGCGACATTTCTTTGTTACAAAGTAGACAGGAACGCGCCGAGTTCCACGTACTCTCGGAAGCCAGCGCACACGCATGCACATACACACACACACACACATACACACACGCGTGTGTCCCGGGCCATCAAGTGGACACCACAGTCGCATGTCTGTATATATATATATATATATATATATATATATATATATATATACCGGGCTACAGGGCCGGGGGCTCCTGGCCAGGACCGCAAACCCACATGGGGGGATCGGGCCTCCGGGAGCGCCCTTGTCTGGCCCAAGAGTGCCCCAAGAGCGCTCCGCGACAGGCCCAGCAGGCTCCAAGAGGCCCATGAGGGCGCCAAGAGGGCCCCAAGATGCCCAAGATAAACCCAAGACGGCCAAAGAGGCTCCCAAGACGCTCCAAGAGGCCTCCAAGCCCCCCAGAGAGCCCCCAGAGGCCAAAATCGTGCATTTTACTACAGTTTTGGACACATTTTGCCTTTCCCGCCTTTTCAGCTTTCCGACGCTCCACGACGGCTCACAGGCCTCCTGCAGACGCCCCAAGACAGCCCAAGAGGCCTCCAAGAGGGCCTCAAGACGGCTCTGGAGGGCCCCAAGACGGCCCAAGACAAGCGAAGAGAGGACCAAGACGGCCCCAAGAGGGCTCCAAGAGATGAGCCGCGAACCCGAAAGGAAATTCGAGCCTCCCGCCTCCACAGGGCCCCGGGAGGCCCCAAAGGGGCGCCAAGAGGCCCCAGGAGACCCCCAAGATAAACCCAAGACGGCCAAAGAGGCCCCGAAGACGCTCCAAGAGGCTCCAAGAGGCCCCCCCAGAGGGCCCCAAGAGGCCAAAATCGTTAATTTTACGGAGGTTTTGGACACATTTTGCCTCTCCCGCCTTTTCAGCTCTCCGACGCTCCACGACGGCTCACAGGCCTCCCGCAGACGCCCCAAGACAGCCCAAGAGGCCTCCAAGAGAGCCTCAAGACGGCTCTGGAGGGCGCCAAGACGGCCCAAGACGCGCCCAAGACGGGCGAAGAGAGGTCCAAGACGGCCCCGAGAGGGCCCCAAGAGGGGAACCGCGAACCGGAAATTCGAGCCGGGCCCCAAGAGGCCCCAGGAGACCCCAAGATAACCCCAAGACGGCCAAAGAGGCCCCAAAGACGCTCCAAGAGGCCTCCAAGAGGCCGCCCCCCCAGAGGGCCCCAAGAGGCCAAAATCGCTCATTTTGCCAAGGTTTTGGATACATTTTGCCTTTCCCACCTTTTCAGCTTTCCGACGCTCCACGACGGCTCACAGGCCCCCCGCGGACGCCCCAAGACCCCCGAGAGGCACCCAGGAGGCCCAAACGAGGCTTCAAAAGGCCACAAAACAGCCCCGAGGAGGCCCCACTACGGCCCCAAAACGGTCACCGAGAAGATGCGAAACTGCGTTCACGACGTTCCCGACAGGCCAACCACGAGATCCAAACCAACACCCATGAGGCCTCTGACCCACCACCTAGGGCACCCGCCGCCCGTTCGCCGTCCGCGTAGCACGCACCACTCTGTATTCAACAGCTTCAGTCTACAAGACAACACCCTGTAGTCAACAGCCCCCGTCTTCAAGGCAACACCCTGTGCTCAACAAGCTCCCGCTGCAAGAGAGCACCCTTAAGGAATTCATTCACATCCCGACCCGCCCGCCCGCCCGCCACCCGCCCGCCCGCCGCCCGCCTGGCCGCTCGCCCGCCTTCCGCGTAGCACGCGCCACCCTGCACTCAACAGCCTCCGCCTCCAAGACAACACCTAGCATTCAACAGCCCCCAGCGCTCCCGGGACTGCCCAGGTCCGCTCCCAAACGCGCCACGACACGCCAAGAGGGCCCTAAAGCTTGCCAAGACAGCCTCAAGAGGCCCCGGACACGCCGAAGATGGCCTCAGGACGGCCGACGACGCCGCCAAAACGCCCCAAGAGCGCCTCCAGAGGCCCCTCCACAGGGCCCCGCATTTTTGCGCTATCGCATGTTCCGCCTCCCCACGGTCCCGGACGGCGTCAGAGGCCGTTCAGATCGCTCCAAGACGGCCGAAGAGGCTCCCAAGAAAGACCAGAGACGGCCCAGGAGGCTCCCCGGATAATTCAACAGGGCTTCGAGAGCGCCCCAAGAGAGCCCCAAGAGCGACCCAAGAGGGCCCGAAGAGCGCGACATTTCAAGGTCTCCAGCCTGAGAGGCTCCTAGGACGCCCCCGGAGGCCATCAAGAGGCTCCCAAGAAGCCCCGTGAGGCTCCCAAGAGGCCCCCCGGAAGCCCCAATGAGTTCCCAAGGGGCCCGAGGGAGGCCCCTTGCGGGCCCCCAAGAGACTTCGGTAAATCGTATTTCCCAGAGCTTTCCAGGAGCATGATTCCTTGGGCTTCCGTCCACCGCCCCAACCATGTTTCCAATAGGCTTGCCGACAAGGCCAAAAAGGGCCCCTCGGTAAGCCCCCAGAGGCCCCCTGTTAGGAGAGCCGAACAAATCATGTTCCCGGAAAGCTTCCCGGGAACATGATTCTCGGGTTGCCGCCTTCTCCCCAAACCATGTTCCCAAGCAGCGCTACCTGCCGTCACGCTCGG